GTAGTAGATGTCATTTGGGAGCCTCTCGGAGGCCTCTTGGGGCGTTTTCGGCCCGTCTGGGGGCCTCTGGGGGACCTCTTGGGGCCATCGTGGGGGCCTCTTGGAGGCCTCTTGGGGGGCTCCTGGGGACCTCTTGGGGCCACCTTGGCGCCTCTTGGTGCCTCCTGGGCGCTTCTTGGGGTCATCTTGGAGGGAATGGATCGAAGAAGAGGGGAGGTTTAACGAGCGCTGCTCCCTCGGAAAGGCAAAATCAGGCCAAAACCTTCGTAAAATCAACAATTCTGCCTTCAAGGAATAGGAGAGCTTTCAGGAGCGCTGCCCCCTCAGAAGGGCCAAGTGGGGCCAAAACCGTAGTAAAATTTATGAGTTTGGCTTCACAGAAGAGGAGAGGGTTTTTTCTCCGGCCCCCCGTCGGGGCCAGAATCCTCGTGAGGGGTGTCGCTTTTTAGCCCTCCCAGGAGTCGAAATTGACCCCTCTGACGACCCGCGAGGCGCCCTCTCCAGGCCCAGGGGGAGGGGGTAGGGGGAGGGGTAAACCCCTCCCCGAAGGGGAAGAAGGGGGGTTGAGAACAGAGAGAGCTCGCTAAATCACTCACGCCCAAAGGGCTGGTGGGATTGCGAGGACGTCTCAGGCTGGAGCGCCCTCCTTATGGGGCCCGCCGATCATGTAACTAATCCGAGCGGGTCATCGGAACCTTGTAATTGTCGTAACTTTTGGACTCTTGAGGCTTGAATATGAAGGAAGTCTCGAGCGGGAGCCTCGTCTGTGAGTGAATCGCGAGGAAGTCTCAGGCGGGAGCCCCTTCCCTATGGGGCACGCACTTCATGTTCGAACCCGAGCGGGTCATCCGAGCGAGCCTTTTGGGCTCCTCACCTCGTGCGGCCTGAACACGGGGGAAGTATCAAGGGGGACCTTTGTTTGTGGGCGGTGCGGGTAGCCCCGTCAGAGGACCGTTTCCTGTCGTCACTTGGAGGTCTGAGGACGGATTTTAGAACTCGCTCCTGCGGCCTGAATACCGGGGAGTTACCAAGCGGGAGTCTCGTCTGTCTGAACTGGTCGCGGGCAAAATTGTTGTTGTCATGGGCCTGCGTGCCCGAAAGGGCGATTGAGAAGTCCGGGTAGCATCGTCCGAGCTGGTCGTCGGCAAAGTTGTTGTAGTCATGCGACAGCGTGGAGGTCCGAGAGGCTCCGCCGCCCCACGGGAGATTTCCGGCTCGGCTACGGCATGGGCATCTACTGGGAAACGCTGGCGAGGTGGATCAACACGCGCGCTCGTCGCGACGCGCGGCGCCTCGGCGTCCCCCTCGTTTTCCTGCAGGCCGTAGACGAGTGCGGCACGGTTCAAGGCGACCCAGACGCAGGCCGGCGCCTCCTGAACGTCCCGAACATGCACAAGACGGGAGACATCCACGGCGTCTTACCGGCACGCGTCGGCATGGAGGTCCGGTTCACGGCCGTCCATGAGGAGCTGAAGAAGAAGTCGGGGCTCGTGCAGGAGCAACGGGCCACCATCGTGTCCTTCGGGTTTCACGCAGACGACGAGCGGGACTACGAGGAGTGCGCGCCGGCCCAGCTCCTCCGCCCCCGCTTCCTACCGCAGGGAATCTGGCTGCAGGTGCACGGCTTCCAGGAGTCCCCGATCTACAAGGAGGTCGCCGAGGCGCTGCTGCAGGGCGCCGATGGCGCTGCCGACGACGGCGAGGCCGAAGCGCGGGCGAGGAGCTTGCTCATGTTCAGGCCCAGCGAGCAGGAGCTCACGCGGCAAAGTTCGGGGGCGCACGCTGTGCGCCGCTCGGGGTTCACCCTGACGCATGCGTCCTACCTGACGTCCACGCTGTCGCAGGGCCAGACGCTGCGCAAGGGCGTCACCATCGACTGCGCCAGGGATGAGGACGCTGGCCGCACGGGCATGTCGGACGAGATGTGGTGGCTGCACCTCTACGTCATGTTCTCCCGCGCCGCGCGCATGCGGAACATGTTGATCCTGCGGCCGCCCGCGCGAGAGTTCCTGGAACGCGGGCCGCCGGCGCCACTGCGGAAGGCGATCCAGGAATTCGACAAGAGAGCGGTGGATTCCAGGGCTGAGGCGGAGCAGCTCGCGGCAGAGCTGGGCTTCGTGCTGCCGCCCGCCTGAGCGCCGCGGCGCGCGCCTAGAGGCCCGCGGGGCTGCCCCAGCGGCTGGCTCCCGCGCCCCTGCGGCCTGCGAGGTTGCCCCAACGGCCTGGCCCGAGGGGTTGTCCCGGCGGCTTCGCGATCTAGCCGTCGGCGAACGCGCGCGCGCTGGCCGACGCGGCGACGGCGCCGAGGAAAATCGAGTTGCTTGCCACGACCATGGGGAACGGGAGGTGCACATGGAAAAGAAGCAGGAGGATGAGGAGGGAAGGGGCATGGGGGGGGCGACGACGAGGAGGAGGTGGCGCAAGAGGAGGAGGAGGAGGAGGAGGAGGAGGAGGAGGAGGAGGAGGAGGAGAAGGTGGAGGAGGAAGAGGAGGAGGAGGAGGAGAAGTAGGAAGAGGAATAAAATGAGGAAGAGAGGGCATTGCAGAGGGCGAGAGGAGAGGGTGTCCGCCAGGGGGAGGAGGAAAGGGCAAAGGGTAACCTAAACAGATTCTCGTGCGGGGTCCCACCGTCTGAGTAATTCGTCGAAAATCCCCCTGTAGGGGGACGCGCCCGACATAATGTTAGCTCCCGGGAGCTCCGGCGGAGTGGCGTCCTGCGCACATCACAAGGGGACCTCGCCCTCACTTCGGGGCTGCGAGCTGCGCAAGTTCAGGAGGGGATAAACACACACAGACACAATTAATCATCGACCCCCAGGAAAATATGGGAAAATATGGGAAGTGGGGGGGAAGACAAAAACCCAGAACGTGTGGAAAATATGGGAAATCCTTTTGTTTGTGTGTATTTACTTGTGTGGCCCAGGGCCCCCTCAAAGGAGACCTCGCCCTCACTTCGGGGCTGCGAGCTGCGCAAGTGTCGCCGCTGTTCATGGGCTCTCGGGAGGTCCAGCGGAGTGATGTCTCACTCACATGAAATTGGGACCTCGCCCTCCCTCGGGGCGGCGAACTGCGCAGCTCTCACCGCTTGCATGGGCGCCTGAGAGGTGGCGCGTGAGAGGTCCACAGAAGCGGCTTTACACATAACTATGAGATTTTGCCCTCCCTGGGCGGTGCGAAATGAGGAACCGTCGCCACTTTCGCGCGCTCCTGGGGGGATCCAGCAGAGTGGTCTCACGCGCGTCCAGGCCAGACTAGACCTCTCTGCATCCGGGGGCACTGAGATCTGCACAGGGGTCGCCACTTAACGTGGTGTTTTGTATTGAGTGGTCCTTTTTCTATCCGCCTCTGTAAAGAGGCTGGGTACGTCCCTGGGTGTTTTCTCACTGTTTCCAGCTGCTGCTTCTCCGCCCTATGCTCCTCTCCCCGCGTCCTCCCCCAGGCCTAGCACGCAACGCCGAAGGCGGCACGTGCTCGCTGCACCACCCGCCCTTGCCTGGCCTGCCTGCCAGCCTGGGTGGCGCTCGTTCCCTCGGACGTCTCTCCCGTCGGCACCCTCGCCCCCTCCCCCCTCTTCTTCCCCCCCCTGCCACTCCCCTGCCTTCTTGACCAAGGGCGCCCTCGAGGGCGCGAGGTTATTCGCGCTTCGCGCTTCGGCTCCGATTCCTCCTCGTCCTCCTCTTCTCCCCTGGGAGGCGGCGCGGAGCGCGAAGTTGGGAGCCCTTGTCTTCCGTCGGCACCCTCGCCCCCTCCCCCCTCTTCCTCCCCCCCTGCCCCCCCCTGCCTTCTGGACATGCCATGGTGCCTGCACCGGTCGCGTCTGTGTACACGACCGGGCGCGGCTCGACGGATGGCGAGAGCGGCACGGCCCTGCACGGCTGCGAGGGAAGGAACCGCTGCCACCACCGAAGTGCTTCGAACGGGCGCTTGGGGATGCGAGATTGCGTTTCCCCGCCGAGCGTGGCGGGCCCCAGCGCAGCCTCAGGGGCGGAGGCCCGGCGCCGGGCGTGCAAGTCCAGCCGAGCTTGCTCACCACCCACCAACCCACCCCGAAGGCTCAGATTTACCCTCGATTTCCAGTGGGGGGGGGTCGGGAAACATCGAAAAAACACATGTGGAACCCTTGCCCCACCAACCCGAAATTGGGGTCTTAGGGTTGGGTTGGGGTGGTCTGGTAGGCAGTCACTTGCGGGGGCTGCCGATGGGATGTCCCCGGCCCAGGGCGTCCCCGGGATACCCTGGAGGGGCCCAGATGGCCTGCCAGAGCACCCCTCGCGAAGCCCATGGGGGCCCCACGGCCTCCAGGATTTGTTGCGACCGGCAGGAGACCTCTCGGCATCACTCGGACGTGTGCATGTTTCTTTCGGCGAGGACCATCGAGGCGCATCCTCGATCATTTGGCGAAAAAGCCACGCGCGAAGCCGAGCAAGAAGCACAGGGAATGGACGTCCGAGCGATGGCGAGACATCGTGGGCCAGGATCACTTCTGGCGACACCCGAGGCTCCTCCTTCTCCTCCTCCTGGCCTGCGAGGAGACTTCGCCAGCCTGCCTGCTGGTCTCGCCTCGTGGCCACGTCGCGCCGCCCTCAGGGCGGCCCTGCCGCTGGAAGCTGGGGCTGGATGCCTAGGCCTCCCAGATGGGGTCGGAGTAGATGAGGTCCGAGGATCGCGCCGCATCGGCGATGCATCGACGATGCGGCTCGATGCGGAGCCCGATTTTTTCCACGCCGACGTCGCCGATGCATCGCCGACATCGACGATGCCTCGCCGGTGCATCGCCGATGCCTCGCCGGTGCATCGCCGATGCATCGCCGATGCGTCGCCGATGCATCGCCGATGTATCAATGATGCGGCGCGATCCTCCGACCCCATCTACTCGGACTCCATCCAGGAGGCCTCTAGGATGCCAGCCCGCGTCCCAGTGCACAGGGTCTCAGTCCGAAGGCTCGGCGGCGCGGCGCCACCGTTCGCCCCCCGGATGGGGCCGCGCCCCCGCGCGCGAGGTGCCCCAGGTGCGGGGCCACCAAGCAGGACTGGGGCGATGTCATCTCCATGGCGTCGGGAGCGCCGCCCCACCCGCCGCCGTCGCCTTTCGTCGGGAGCGAAAGAATGAGACGCACGCACATGAATCCACGCCTGTTTCGAAAGCGTGAATCTGCGCGAACGTTCGTATCACAAGGCTGGTTTCGCGGACTGGGGGCCCGTATTCATTATGTGGTTGGGCGCGTATGTCCACTGTGGGTTCCTATTCAGCCAAGCCTACCCCCCTTGCGCGGCCTGATACATTTAAAGGACCAGGTTCTTGGTATCGATCTTTTAGACACAGTCGCACGAGCGTGGCGCGCGCATATGTGTAAAAGGACCAGGCCCCTTGCACGCCGGCCTTGCTGGGCCACGTGCCAGTGCCCTGGAGTGCCACGGTTGCCCGGCAAAAACAGAGGACGAGGGGAGACGAGGGGAGGCACGGAGGAGGCACACACATGCACATACACACACTTTTTTCCGTCGGCGGCTAGGCAGAGGGACTGCTCTGGCGACGTGATGCACACGCACACACAGTCAACCCGCATAGTACGGACGGGCAACCTTCCCAAGGGTGCCATAGCGTCCTTGCCTCCTCGGTGCATCCTTGGCCACTTTCGCTGGTAGCGCCCCGCTCGAAAACTTCGAAATGGGCTTCCAATGGCCTTGCATCCTTATCGCGCATCCTTGCTATACGGGTTGACTGCACACGCACGCGCACATGCACAAACAGACACACCTTTTCGGTCGTCGCGGCCCGGCGACTCGCCAGGGCGGCTAGGCAGAGGGACTGCTCTGGCGACGTGATGCACACGCACACACACACAGACACGCACACGCACACACAAACAGACCCGCCTTTTCGGTCGCGCGGCCAAGCGACTCGCCAGGGGCGGCGCTGGGCGCACGGCCCGCGGCCGAGCGAGCAACAGTCGTCAGGAGGGGGAAAAACACACAGACACAATTAATCGTCGAGTCCGAGGAAAATATGGGAACAGATGGGAAGTGGTGCGGAAGGCAAGAACCCAGGGAATATGAGGAAATATGGGGAATCCTGTTATTTGTCCGTATTTATCTGTGTGTCCCAGGGCCCCTTCAAGTCGGAGGAGTAACGAGAGAGAAACCAACGAGCCTAGGTTGTGAGTCGTAGGCCTTTACTGTTCATGTGCGGGCATTTTGGGATGTCACTTGAAGGCTTCTTGGCGGCTCCTCGGAGCCTTTTGGGACCTCCTGCAGCCTATGTGGGCCTCCTTGGGTCGCTTCGGGGGCCTCTTGGGGGATCTTGGTATGGGGTGTTCGAAATGTCGGTTCGTGTTCCCCCTCCTGGGCCGTTCTGGGCCGTCTTGGTCCGACGTGGCGGCCAGGTGGTGTGATTTGTTTTGCCAACGCTCGGGGCGGGTGTCCTCGGAGGACGCCTTGCGCTGGCGCGGATTTTGAGAAGACAAACTGGCGCAAACGTTGAAATTCGCCCGACCAGGATTTGAAATAATCTCATCGTCCTATCTGCATACCGTTGTTTTTGTATATGTTTCCAACCCCGCGTGCTTCTTTTTCAAGGGATCTGGAGAAAGTGGTTGGGGCAGTTCGTCCACACTTGCCAACCTTGGCCCATTCCCCTTCAGTTGTTCCATGTTGTTCCAGCCCTGACGACGTTTGTCCAACCGTTTCGGGCATGTTTCATCCTCTGCCAATGTTTTAACCTTGACCACTTCCACGGTTACGTTCTCTTAATTCTTAAGTTCGCATCTTCCAGCTTCCCTGCAGATTCCTCCAACTCGGGGAAGGAAAAGCGACACCACCACCACCAGAGGGGGCCACCTCCAGCGAGGAGCTGCACGATGCTTCCCCGAGCTGGCAACAGGGGATGTCTCGAGCGAGTGAGGGGACCACACCACCAGGGCGGCCCTTCCTCGCTCCTCTCGCTGGTGGTCCCTGGTGGTGGTGGTGGCGGTGTCGATTGCGAAGGCCTGACGGCCGGTGCCGCCGACCCTGAAGAGGACCACGACGGAGGCCGTGGAAGATGAGGAGGAGGAGGAGAAGGAGAGAGGAGGAGGAGGAGTTGGAGGAGGAGGAGGAGGAGGACAAGGAAGAGGAGGAGGAGGAGGAGAGGAGGAGGAGGAGGAGGAGGAGGAGGAGGAGGAGGAGGAGGAGGAGGAATAGGAGGAGCAGGAGGAGAAGGAGGAGGAGGAGGAGTTTCCATCGTTTCTATCCAGCGGCGCAGGCGGCTCCGTGGGCAACGACAGCGTCGCCTACCGCGCGGGCCGGGCGCTGCCGTCCCTGCGCACGGCGCCGCCCGGGAACGGGCACGGAGACCTGCAGACCTTGTTCGAGTGGGCCCCCGAGGCTGCACGGGCAGTGGCGGGCTCAGGCAGCTTCTCTCGAGGGGCTCTCCCCTCCTCCTCCTCTCCTCCTCCTCTCCTCCTCCTCCTCCTGCTCCTCCTCCTCCTCCTCCTCTCCTCCTCCTCCTCCTCCTCCTCCTCCTATCCTCCTCCTCCTCCTCCTCCTCCTCCTCCTCCCCCTCCTCCTCCTCCTCCTCCTGCCAATCCCGGACCCACTCGCGTTGTGAAGGGCATCGCGACGGCAGTTTCTGTGCCGTCTTCGGCCTCTGATGCCGGTTCCTCGCGGCCGTTCTTCGTGAATGTTGAATGCTCTTGTGCATACTGGGGGAGGGTTCCCTCGAATCTTTCAGTTTGGTGGGCGGTGGGTCTCGTGTTCTCGGGGGGTGCTCTTCTGTCGTATGTCTGGCCGCGGGAAGAAGAACCGGCCCTGCAGACAAGGGGTCGAGACCGCCAGGGGCCCATGCCGTGATGAGTCACGATGTCGGGATTCCGAGTATGGGGAAGACGTGCTTGGCTCGTGGTTTCCCTGGTTGGCCGTGCCATCTTGGAACCCCCAGGGCCCTCCGGGTCTCGTGAGGGGTGCTCGAGATCGACTGCGCGTAAGAGTGACCCTTCGCCAGAGTGTTTTTTTGGTGCGGGCCCAACGGGGTCCCCCGATCACTGAACGCGAAGTGATAGCGCCAGCTTGCGCGCTTGGTTCTGGCCCCCTCGCCCCCCTGAAGCCGCGCACCAAAGGTCACTCTTGCCTTGGGCCACTCTTACGTATAGCCGACTGGGGTGGGCTTTGGAGGCCACTTGTGCCTCCCTGGAAAACTTGGGGCCGCTATGGGGCCCTGGCCAGTTCTGGCAACGCCCGACCCCCACGGTGCGAGTGGCCGCGCAGCTCGTGCAGTCGGGCCGAGGTATAAGATCGAGGTCGGCTCGGGGAGGGTGGCTTGATGTTCTTCGTGTTTTTTGGACGTTCTTATGCATACTGGGGGAGGGTACCCTTAGATGTTTTGTGTGTTTTTTGCCGGCGGCGGGGTCCCAGGCAGGCGGGGCGTTTCCCTCCCTGTTCGCTTCTCTTTTCCCCGCCCGCTCTCCCTCCCTCCGCGCGCCGCCATGGCGCTGAGCTGCTGCCGCAGCCGCCTCGCTGGGGACCCGGGCCTGGTCTTGCCGCCCGCCGCCCCACGCTGGCCCAGCATTTTGCTGGACGCACTTCCACTCTGCCGCACCTTCAGCGCACCCACTCGGCCGACGCGCGGCCCACCGCCTGGCACTTCGTGGGCTGCGGCTGCTTGCTGTGCTCGTTCTGGTGCCCGCACTGGGCCCCGCCGCCGCTGGAACCCCGGCGCAGCAGCCGCCTCAGTCAATGCCGGCCGGGCCGGCCGCGCCCGCCGCCAGCTGCTCTGGGCGCGACTCGTCCCCCTCAGCGGCCTTCCCGCTACGTTTTCGCCCCCCCCCCCCCCCCCCGCGGCCGCCCGCGTTTCCACCTCCCCCCCTGTTGCACGGTGGCCAATCCGGTACAACGGTGGCCCCGTGTAGGTACCCTCGTCCGCCAGCGCGGGCGACCCTTGCCTAGCCGCCGATGGAGGGTCTCATGTTCTGAAGGGGTGCTCCCCCTGGCATAGGTCCCGACTGTAACCCAGAACCTTCCCTGAATAGTGCCGGGTGCCCTGAGGCGGCTGCGGCGGTGGGTGTCATTCGCCAGCTTCTGGCCGCTCGGAGCCCTTTCTGGGCCCCGGGGGCGTCCCAAAACATTGTTTTACAGAAGGCGCGAGGACTTTTGCGACGTCGCGCCGCCTGTCAGAATATTTTTGTCCCACTTACCCCCTCGCTCGCCGCCGAGCTTGGACCTCTCGGAACCCTTTCTGGGCCCCAGGGGCGTCCAAGGAAACGGGTCGGGATGAAGATCCAGTCCCGGGAAGGCCACCAGGTCCAGGATCGGGGCTCAAGGGACGGGGGGCGTTGCAAGAGGGGGTCAGCCAGGGCGCCAGATCTTCCGGGATCCTGCCGAGCCAGCGGTGCTTTGACCCGGGCTAGGGTGCAGGATCCTGCAGGATTTTGCAAGATCTTGCAAAGCGTGATGGACCCGGGTTTGCAGTGACCCGGGCCAGTAGATCCTCGCCAGCATATGTGTCCGTCACTCATGCCAACCAGTACGTCCCCTGGATCCATTGGCTCTCAGAGGTCCGTGCGTTATCCAGCTACCTGTGGCGAATCCCGCCACCGTGCATGGGCAACGGCGCAGCAGGAATGATACCAAGTGCGATATCAGCGCGTGATGGACAAAAACCAAACCCCCACCCCGCCCGGGATTGATTCATACACCCCGTGGGGCGCGATACCTTTTTTGAATCACGCGCGCCGGGGGGGAAGGAGGAGAGAGGAGGGGGAGGGAGGAAAAGGAGGCGGACGAGGAAGAGAAGGAGGAGGAGGGAGGAGGAGGAGACGCAGGAGGAGGAGGAGCAGGAGGAGGAGAAGGACGAGGGGTAGGAGGAAGAGGAGGAGGGGGAGGAGGAGGACTACCCGCCTTGCTCGGGTCGGACGAAAGGCCTGGGACTGAAAAAGGGGGTTGCAAAGCCTGCTGCGCGCAGCTGGTTTCGGTTGCCCCGCCGACAAACCGGTCCTCGACGCATGGCCGCTTTCGGCGCCAGGATGCGCTTGGACAATCGTCGACGCGAGCTGCTTGGCAACTCCCCCTTTGCTGCGCCCTACTTTCGTCCAGCCCGCCTTGCCCGCAAGCCCGCATCGGTTCGATGAAAAAAAGGGCGTCGTGGCTCGCCCTTGCCTCCAAACACCCCCCCGTTGCCCCCCGTTGGCGGCCCGGCGTCGGCGCTAATCACTGGAGCCGCCCCGTTAATTTTCAATCTGCCGGGTGCCACTCCGCGATTCGCCCGAGCAGGGAAATTGTTCCCAACCCTCCTTGGTTGTGTATTCGTTTTGAATAAACCTCCGCGGTCGCGTCTTCCTCCTCCTCCTCCTCCTCCTCCTCCTCCTCCTCCTCCTCCTCCTCCTCCTCCTCCTCCCCCTCCCGCCTCCTGTCTCCCACGAGACCTCGCCGTCCCGGGGGGGGGGCTGCGATTCGCGGAATTGTCGCCACTTTCGAGGGCTGCTGGTGGGTCCAGCGGAGTGAGGCACCGCGCAGATGTGAGGTAGACCTCGCCGTCCCCAGGGGGCTGCGATCTGCGAAATTGTCGCCACTTTCGAGGGCTGCTGGTGGGTCCAGCGGAGTGAGGCACCGCACAGTTCTGAGGTAGACCTCGCCTTCCCTAGGGGGGTGCGATCTGCGGAACTGCCGCCATTTTCGAGGGCTGCTGGTGGGTCCAGCGGAGTGAGGCACCGCGCAGATGTGAGGTAGACCTCGCCTTCCCTGGGGGGCTCCGATTCGCGGAAGTGTCGCCAATTTCGGGGTCAGCTGGTGGGTCCAGCGGAGTGAGGCACTGCGCAGATCTGAGGTAGACCTCGCCGTCCCCAGGGGGGTGCGATCTGCGAAACTGTCGCCACTTTCGAGGGCTGCTGGTGGGCCCACCGGTGTGAGGCACCGCGCAGATCTGAGGTAGACCTCGCCGTCCCTGAGGGTTGCGAGCCTCACGAATGGCGTTCGCAGAATTATATGCGCCCATGTCAAGTCATCACATGTGTATGACGTGTCCCAGGCTACTCGTGCCCCGCATTAGGCAGGGGTTGGGTACGTCGCCAAGGGATTTTTTTCAACCCGCCCCCACCACGGATTTGTTAGTCACAAGCTGACATTCGGAACAGCGCAAGTCCGACGACTGGTCTGAACTAGGACTGGACGTGAACTCGACCTTGTCTTCGGAAGGAGGTCGAGTTCACGCCCCGTGGCAGTTGAGTGAGTCGTCTGAATAATAGGGAATAGGGAAGGGTCGCGGTCTCAACCTCGACTTTGGCCGCGCGGTATGGAAAAACAAAAAAAATTAGGAATTGGAGATGAACCATGTGAAGACGAGGAGGAACAATCACTAATGGGCCCCTTCCTTCGAGCCTCCTAGGTGCTTCCTGTGAGCCTCCTGTGGACCTCTGGGGGGCCTCTTGGGTGCGTCTTAGGGCCTCTCGGAGGCCCCCTGGGGCCTCGGGGGCCCTCTTCAGCAGCTCTTGGCTCGTCTGGCGCTCTCGATGGCCGTCGTGGGGGCTTCTCTGGGCCGTTATGGCGCACTCTTGAAGTGCAGGGCCGCCAGGGTGGCGACGACGATTTCGGGCCTTGGCTGCGCGTGCCCCGCCTCGGGCGTTGGCGGCCGCCCTCCGCTCTGTCTTACACGGGCGGGTGACCACCCGGCGGTTTCCGCAGGGCGGGGGCCAATGTTGCCTTTTGGGCTGCGCCGCGGGAGAAGGCACTATCGGCGGCGAGCGAGGGGGGGGAAGTGAGAAGGAGAAGGCCTTCTCACAAGGCGGCGGGACTTCTCAGAAGCCCTCGCGCCTTGTGAGAAGTTTTCTGTGCCTTCGGGGAAGGCCCAGAAAACTGTTCAAAAGGCTGGGGCACTTCCGAGCCTTCTGAGAAGGCCTTCTCTTTCTCACTTCCCCCCCTCCCTCGCCGCCGACATTAGGTGTTCGATTATGGACCCCTTATTGAACGCAGCCATCCAGCGCTTTCGCGCCGAAGACCGTTGGAGACCGCCGAAGACCGCCCGAAGACCGCCAGAAGACCGCCGAAGACGGCCCGGGAGCAATGGCTCGGCATCGATCGGACGTGTGCATTTTTTCTCGGCGAGAGCCATGGAGGACCATCCTCTGGACCATCGAGCAAAAAAACACGCACGAAATCGAACGATGCACGGGAAATGGACGTCCGAGCGACGGCAAGATGGGCGACAAGGGGGGTCCATGGCCGAACACGTAGAAGACAGCACCGAACGCCTCGCTGGATGCTGGTGCTTCCACCCGCCCCGCCGCTGCCGCCTCGGCCTCGGCACGCCTCCAGGGCCGCAGCGCCCGGAGGATCTCCGAGGCGTCGCCCCAGGCAGTGGAGGCCCATGCCGAGCAGCACCTTGCTTGTCTTCAGGG